CTTCATTTTTGACAAGCTGGTCACGATAGTCTACCTCAACCACGAAGGAAAGAAGCGCTTGATGAGATTGTCAAGTATTGTGATGGGACACTGAAGATCATAAGAGACAAATTGCTTCCGCTGAAATGTGATATTGAACGAAGACTTGTCGACACTTCCAAAGATGAATTGAAAGAGTTCGACAGAATAAAGACGATGCTAGATGCAATCAATAAACGACTCGAAAAGAGAAGAATGCTACATCAATACGAGCATGCACTGACACTGCGAAAGAACTACTTGAAGAGGTAGAAATGAATAAGAGCTGACAATGGACATCTGATCACAAGAGGGGATGTTAGAGATATTTTAATATTGTGATCAATGTTATTTATTAGGCCTCTTTTGGAATTAAATATGGGTAGAATAGCTAATTGTGCTGAGGGTGCTAAATAAGGAAATGAGCCTCCTCAAAGTTGGAGCCCAATTATTGTAAACCTACCCATTCCCAAAAGGCTATAAATATGTCTTTAGGGAATGGATAGGTAAGCCTTTCACCAAAATAGACACACCTGCACAGAGGATATTTCACCTATGGAGGTTTTACGCTAAAGGTTCTTAATCATTCTATAAACCTCTTGTTCATCAATGGAAGGCTTCACTTTACCTCTTTGAGCTCCATTTTCATATATCAATAACTTAGAACTAGGGACCTAACACCCGCACAACTTGAGGGGGTGTAATAGTTGATTTAAATTAAGAATCCTCGTGTATTTTGGCAACTCTTATTTTATTATAAATACATCGGTCATGGCTTCTATTGAAGCACCTATTTCCCATTATTTCACACCCTCCAAGGATAGTAATCACATACACCAACATCGAAAAAAGAACAAACCAAGAACATAAAGAATTGCAATCTTAACCGAATCTTCATCACAATCAGCCTTTTGATCAAGAAAATAATTTTGAGTTTCTTCACCACTAACTTTAGAATAATTGTTGAAATACTTTATGATAAGATAATTATTGTCTGAAGAATTAACAATAGAAGCATCAAACTGACCAACACACTTTAAACCAATAACAATTGCAAATTCAGCAATGGAAACCCACATAAGAAAATCGGAAACCTCAAACCAGATCTCATTCAAAATATTGTGGCTAATTTCTCACAAAAGAAAATAATATACAAGTTGAGACCGGAATTTCAGATCTTATAATCAAGGAATTTACCAAATTAGGGTTGCCTATATAAATTCAATCTTTGCTTTACAGTCAACTTGGTCTTGAGATTTACCATAAGACAATCTTTGCTAAAACTACAAACCCAACTGTTAAACCAACATTCACATGTAACAAAATACTCCCACTCCTACTAGAGTACAAAAATGGGAAAAAAAATTAAACCAATAAAGTTAAACAAAAATAATTTGAAACAAATGAAACAAGAAATTAGGTTTTCAAAATACAACTATACTACTTATACCAATATTGTAATTAGTTATCTTAAATGCCGCAAGTGATTTTTTAATCATAAGCTCATTCAAAGAGATCTTAGACTTCTTTGTCGGTGCATTCATATAGACTTTAGCCATCTTACGAGCTTTCGGAGCATTTTCATTTTTTCTCTTCTTGCAAGTGACATTCGTAGTTGTAGTAAGAATAGGTGAAGTGGAAGAGGGCTCATTTGGTATGAGAATGTTAGGTTGATGAGAATGTATTCAATTTATTTCCGTTTGTGTTTGGTTAAGATTAAGAAAATGTGACATTAATTTATTTGATTAAATGATATCTTATACTGCAAATTTGGTGATTTAATTCAATGCCCTTTAAATATTTTCTCATAATACAATAAAATTATTACAACCTACATTTAAAGTAATTAAATTAAAGAAAAAATGAAATATCTTAATAATAAATAAAATCAAAACTAATTGAATTATTTTTAATCAAACTATGTTTAATTGTAAAATCAAAACTCATCGAATCATCAAAACTTAAATAAGCTATAAGTAATATAACATAAATTCTTTTCAAAATTTAAATGTTAAGGAAAAAAAATTATTCAAATAAAAAGAATAGACATGCGAATATAATTAAAACACACACACTCCATCAGTCCCACTTAAAGGTTGTCACGCGATTCACAATATTTGACTGACCATAAAATTAATTTATCTCTGTCAATAATAAGATTATTTCTAGTAAATAAATGTGCATATTCATTAACTACATTAAAAGTTTTATAAATTAGCAAAAAATCAAATTTGATAATAGTTGGATATTTAAAGCAAAAGATTAATAACAATTTACGTTGACTAGAAAATAATGGACGAGAACATTTAAGTGAGACAAATGTAGTACTAAAAGTCTATTGTCATAGGATGAATAGAAAATATGGTGAGAAATATTTAGCTCTGAATTGAAGATGGAAGAGTCCAAAATAAATTAAATGAAAAGTGATAATTAATTGAGGATATTTTTGGAAGAAGATTTACATATCCTCGAAAATGTCAGATAACCTATGACATGAATGTGCTTAACATTTCTCTCCATATTACTGTCACATCAGATTCATGGGAATGTAACTTCATTCCTTGCTATTTTCTCAACCCCGCGAACCAAACATGGACATCTAACATTCATGCCCTAAGGGTAGGGTTGTAAACGAATCAAATAATTTGCGCTCGATTTGCGATTCGAATTCGTATAAGACGATTCAAATTCGGAAAATTCAAATACAAATACAAATAAGAATATTAAATTTGATTCGAGTTCTTATCAAATACAAATAAGAATATCGGTGTATTCGATTCGAATACTAATCAAATATATTCAATTAATAATAATGGTAATATTAATGTCAATATTAATAATAATAATAATAATAATAATAATAATAACACTATAATAACTTTTAAAAGATAGCAATGCCCTCAAAGTGTAACTCATATATACACTTGTGCATACAAATTCCAAACCTATTTGTAATAAATCAGAATATAAATACAAATACAAATCAATTTTTTTGGTTCAAACGTCTTTCAAATACAATACAAATAATTTTGTATTCGATTTGAAGAATAAAATTAGAGTTGTTTGACTTTGATATATACAATTATCAACTTATTTCACACATTATAAGTATAATTTCTAATATGTGTGTATTAGTGTTTATTTTAAAAAGTTTGAAATAGATTTATATTTATTAATCATAAAATTAATTCACTTTAGTATATTGTGTACCATCTAAAAATGCATTGATCCATTAAATTTAAATTCAAAAAACACATATTAAGTCATAGTATGCATTTACAACATAAAAAAATATGGAATACAAAAAGTTATTTTAGAGTGATATTTGACTAAAATATAACTTATGCTCAAATCGATTCGATATTCGTATATGATTCGTTAACTATTCGTATCGTTAAACAGATACAAATACAAATCGAAATTAATATTCGTTTCATATTTGAATTCGAATTCGTATTCGAAAAAATTAAACAAATACAAAATCTCATTATTCGACTCGATTCGGTTCGTATACAACCCTACCTAAGGGTCAAAAACCATCAATACTCAGTCTAAAAGAGGCTGTAGTATGACTGTATGAGGAGTATTGGCACTTGATATTATCGTTGACAAAGGCGGAATAACAAAGGAATGAAGAAGCGAAATCACGTTGATAGAACAAGTGATGAAGAAACGGCAGAGAAAATGTAGAAATCGAAGAAGAGAATGGAAAGTAGGAAAAAAGAAGAGGAAATTGTGAAGGAAGGAAGTTCGTTGAACGTGAAGGAAGTTGGCAGAAACGATCTAAAAGTGAAATAAAAAATAATATTGAAAATACAAAAGTTTAAAAATGAAAAAGCAATTTGTTGAGACATAAATTATATTTGGGTCCGAAAAGGGGACCCTAAGGGTAATTACCACTTTAATAATAAAAATAAGGTTGAAATTTCTTTTGAAAGATTTCCTAAAATATTACTACATCTATGATCTATCCCACCAACATTGGGACATGAGAAGCTAGCTGATACAGTTATTAAGAAAAGTAGTTGTATGTGGTTGATATTGAATTAACAAAATAACAATAGAGTAAAAATAATTTAGAACCACACAAATTTTACCATATTTGGTATGTGGCAATCTTAATGGGACAGAAAAAAGGAACGATGAGACAATTTTGACGAGACAAATGAAATAATATTAAATAAAATTTAGGGATGAAAATGTCATTAAAATTACTATCAGTAAGTTTTACGATCATTACGATGTAAAAACTGAACATAAACATAGTAACCAAATTCACCAAGTCAAACTTTTGCCCTTCAATCTCACTTTGATCGGGTACTATTTCATTTCTTTATTTTAATAGTAAAATACGAAGCATACTTTATCATTTGTTTCACAATTAAGCATATATAGTCGATTGAGTCAATTTCAAGAATTTTAGCAGTTTAAGTTAATAATTCTAACAATATCGTAAGAGCTTTTATATCATGAGACGCATATGTTGAAGAAGCGTTGTTTCCAATGGTTAGATTAGTGATGGACTCGGGCCGGGTGGCCCGACCCAGAACCGGCCCGGGACCGGTACTGTTCCGGCCCGGCCTGACCCGGTGGCCCGGTCAGTGACCGGTCCGGGTAGGCCCGGCCCGTGGGTTTTCCGGTCCGGGCTCGGGTCACCCAAAACAAGGCCCGACCCGGCCGGGCCCGGTCCCGGTTCGGGCCAAAAACTATTTTTTTTTTCAATTTTTTTTAAATTTTTGGGTTGGGCAGGGTATTTTGGGCCATTTGGGGTGGTTTGGGGGTTGGGGGTGGGAGGGGGGTTAATTAGGAAGAGGAAAACAAAAAAAAAATTATAATGGGCCCGGCCCGGCCCGGTCCCGGGTCCACCATTTCTGACCCGCCAGCCCGCCCAGGCCTAGGCCCGACCCGGACCCGGCCCGGACCCGGCCCGGACCCGAGTCCATCACTAGGTTAGATACTTAGATACAAGCATGCATGACACGATGAGATCTAACAATTATAGTTTTTGGTGGAGACTTTCAGCTATATCATTAACTGTTATTCCAAATGACATGATATCATTAATGCTTCAATCAACTCCTCATATTTGTGGAAGGGTTGAGATTAACGAAAAACACGAGACTAAAAAGTCTAACGAACAATCACGAATCATGCATGGGATTCGAAGACCCTTTCAGAGTAGAGGATTACCAGCCTGGGTGATGATATAGCTGGAGAGAACTATGAATGTGCTCCTGTAAAGCTAGATACCAGAAGATATACTTCTCAATATGATTCATTCATAACCCTTCAACACATCTGTGTTCTTCCAAATAAATCCATAGCAGCGGATTCGAGGTCTCAGTCTTTCCTGGCTTAGTTGTCTCTATATTCCCTCTCTCCGTATACACTATACAGAGACAAAATCTCTTCAGCTATGCCGGGGACGCCAAGTGAACAGTGAACCTTTCTCATCTATCCCAACCGGTCTGCTATCTAATCTGCTGCCTCCGCACAAACATACCAAGTAGGCAAGTACCATTGTACCAAGTATTAGACTCTCCCGTACATACTGCTTCCAAGATTAGGATATACTGATATAGGGAATTAAGTAATTAACTATAAACAAGAAAAGGAAAAGGGGAAAAAATGAAAAAGAACAAAATAATGAATGGAGATGAGAAGGCCACGTGAATAAAATGAAATGACTTGTCTTCATTTATAATGCCACATGTGGATTACCTGCTATAACAGGTAGCCTATAGGCCATTTTGTGTTAAATGACCATTTTTTATGAGTAAAGATGTGTATATGACACTTATTAAAGTACATGGATCTAAATGATGGTTTTAAGATAGTGTAAGGGTAAGAACATTGTCGTATGTTTCTTCTACTAATTTCAGGATCAATATTTTATAGACTTGCTTCTTAAATAGAGCACAATCTGAAATTAAAAAGAAAAAACATAAAATACATTATTCACATATTTGTTATACATCCGGTCCAAAGTAGCCAAACGAGCAACTTTACAATTGCCAATGATGTTAAATTGGTTCACCATTAAAGAGGGGTCATTGCCCTTCTTTTAGGGACTTTAAGGGCATAAGTGCCCTTTGATAACAACTTTAGGGGTTTTTGCCCCCTTACCCATAAGGTTTGATCAATCCTACCTTCGAATTCATTTCTATCTATTAGATATTTAGATTACTTTCCTCTTTCATTTGATTCATTTATTTGCATTATAGGGCAAAAAAATGCCTGCAATGTATGCTCTTCCGTGAAGTATGTACGCACAAATCAACTTGTTATGAAAGGCAACAATGGAGAAAAATACTAAAAGCTCAAAATAATGTTGATGACATCTAATGATCTTGAGTTTTTGTCGGAATAAACAATGATGTCATCTTTGTCAAGATATAACACATGAGAGATTTCAGATGACTCTCATGACTTTATGAGGAATCCACATCCTTGCATGCGGGTTAGTTTTTTGTGGAGGTGAAAGTAGTATTTGTGAAATTATTAAAATTGGAAGAATAAAATGACAGGTGATTACTCCGATAACATTTTATGGGTATTGAAAAATATTATATTCATCAACATATAAAATAAGCGATTAAATGTCTTTACCCACCAAAACCCTTCATCCAATCCAAAGAGATATCCACGGAATAGCAAGACATCTCCAGATTCGACAAGTCCGTGATAGGGCACCAATGACTTGATTGTCATTTTCTCTAATAAGTGAGGGATCAGATAACACAATAAATTGATGGTTTTGGGAACTTGACATTTATCTCTAAGACTAGGAAATGTGAACACTTTGGCTGGAAAAGTGTTGGGCATCCAAGTTTGACAACGTAAAGGCATACGATTTACGAGACCAATCTTCACAGCAGCATGCTCTTACGATGCAAGAATTCCAATGGCGTTTCCAGAGGAAAGTACCTACGCATACCGGCCTGTTTAGGGAACACAGACAATCAGTTGTGCAACAAGTGTTTGTGATGCCAGACTACAAGACTTTACAAACACAAAATGACCTTAAAGACTTTACAAACACAAAATGACCTACTGGAAACAACTACTGGAACTCGTCCAGACTCCTGACCATAGGACTCCTAAAGTACTTGTAACTATTAGTACTGTGGTCCAAAAAACGTATGTTTATGAGCCAACCCTTCCTTTAATAAAAATGCACTAATCAGGACCTATGTTATGCCTGACTCCCCCATAGAGACGTGCTTAGCCCATTTCCTGTTAGCCCATTTCTCCGTCACATATTTATCTCCTAAAGGACAACCGGCAAGGTGCTTAAGATAGTGAGTATTGTGTAGTGGAGAATTGTGCAGAGGAGAGAGAAATGTGTAAGAAATGCTGTGAACAACAAATTCTTTGCCAAAAAAGGAAAGAGGAGATAATTTTGAGACGGACGAAAAATATTTCGTTTGAAGATAATATTGGGACGGAGGGAGTAGTATTTTTTAGAACATCTGTAAATATAACACTATAACAGTCATCTCTTTGCATACCTATAATACACCATAAGTGTACCTGCACACCTTGGGAAAGACATCAGTACCTATAATACTTACCATGAAACAACAACACCAAGGAAGGCCCTTATAACTATCTATTTGAGCAAATACCACAAACCAGAAAACCAAAAACTTAAAAATCAAAGCAACCTACCTAATAGCATATTCACTGAATTATTAAAGGCATGCATACTAGTGAGAAAATCCCCCAAACATAGATAAACTCTTCAAATCAAAGCTGCAATAAAAAGCATCAAATCTGACACAGATAGATAAGGCGAGATTTAATACCTCAATCCAACTAGTGGACCAAATGTCTTCAAAATAAGAGTCAGAAAATACTCATTGCTCACTGATCTCAGTAGCAGTAGCACTCTCTTCCTTCTTCAGTGCAGCGACTACTTGACGCAAGACTTCATCAGTAGATTTGTGAGAGTTCTCAACTGCCTTGGCTATAGCCTGCCACTTCTCTCCATGCTTAGGCTCTGAAGCAATGCACTTTCTCAACACCTCATTCCGAGTATCCTCAGATCCAAACTGCTCCTCAAACCTGTAAAACAAGGCCCAGAAATCACCAATATCTGGTGCAATTGTAACAGCACGGGTAAACCATGTTCTGGCTTTATCGACCTTTCTGTCATTCCAGAAAAGCTTTGCAATGGCAGCAAGAACATAGGCATCTTGATTGCACTTTTTATAAGCATCCGAACTCTTTGATTTTCTCTGCGGGCGAGGAGCCATCTCAATTGAAGCAGCCAATAGTATGCCACTAGTCGGACACTCCTGTAATGCCTTTGCCATCAGAACATCTGCTTCCTTTTTATAACCATGCCGTGCCTCAGCACGTACAGCGGTAAGCCACAGCTGAGGATTCTTTGGGTTCTTCTTCCGAGCCATTGTAAGAACTGCTCGGGCTTTACTCAGCCCACCGTTCATCCTCTCTTCCAGTTTAGCAAGAGATAGCCACAAGGGGATGCAGTTTGGGCAGTTCTGCAAGCCAGACTCGTATGTCCTCTTAGCGTCCTCCAGATGCCGAAGACGTTCTTCGAGTTGCCCAAGCATCAACCATAGTTTGAAAAAGGAAGGGAATCGTTTCAACCCATCATCAAGCAGGGATTTCTCTTCCTCAACATTCCCTAATTCTCTTTCCACAATTGCGGATTTCATCCAGACACGTTCAGACCCGGGTATTCTATCCCGGGCCTTAGCAAGCAGTTTTCGGGCTCTTTCGGTCTCTTTGTTCTCAAACTCAAGCTTAAAAGCGGCAAGCCAGATCTCTTCGGAGTCAGGGATTGCAGCAAATGCTTCCTCAAGAATTGCCCTGGCTGCAGGCACATCTCCTGCAAGCCACTTCTCCTTGGCTCCCATTAACCACAGAACTTCAGCATTTGGTATGTAAGTAACTGCTTTACGGAGGAGAGCATCTAGGCTCTCTCTCGTTCCGTGGCTTTTCTCCAGCTGTGCGGCTTTAAGCCAGATGCTCTTCTTCGTTCGAAAGACTGTGAGGGCATGAGAGTAAATTTGCCTGGCTGTTTCAATGGAACCTCTCTTTTTGCACTCCTCTGCATCGGCCACCCAAGTCCTTTTCCTGTCTTCTTCCTCGACCCCAAGTCCGACAGTGTTACTGATAATAGCCTGGCAGGTTAGGACAGAGCCAGCTCTTTCACAACCCTCGGCTTCTTTCATCCAAGCCTCCCGGTCAATTTCCAAGCCTTCCCTCTGCAAAGCCCTAATACCTCTTTCTATGATCTTCACAACCGTGTTTGTATTCCCACTGGCTTCTTCCAGTCTTGCTGCGGTGATCCAGATAGCAGGCTCCTTAGGAAGCTTCTCCCTTGCCTTATTAAGCACTTTCTTCGCATTGTCATAAGTCTCCAGCTTGGCAAGAGCAAGCCATAAGTCGACATGTAAAGGGCAGCACTCAACGGCTCTCTGCAGCAAAAGTCTGGCGTCCTCCTCATTAGCTAACATCACAACAGCTTTCCAAAGCCTTACAGAGTCAGGTATGTGCTCCAACCCTTTCCTCAAAACACGACTCTTGTTTGAAGTGTCTTCTTCCAACTCTGCAGCCTGCAGCCACAGTTTCACTGAAGTTGGATTCACCTTTACACCACTTGCAATTACAGCCTTCGCTTCGCTGGGGCTGGACAATCGGCATGCTTCCATCCATACATCCTCACTCTTGGGGCATTCTTCACACCCTTTTTTGATTAACTGTTTTGCAACTTGCAGCTTGCCTGCAAACTCCTCCAGTCTGGCAGCCGCAATCCAACCAGGTGGGTGCTTCGGATTTGTATGAGTGACCGATTTAAGCAGCAACCTGGCCTTCTTTATATCTGAAATCTGAGCATCACTGTTAAATTTCATACTGTTCAAGTCTGTCAAGTAACCTTTCGGATCAACCACGGTCTGTCCAGTGACAGAGTCTAGAATACGATCCAACCTCACTGACAACACTGTGCCCCTCCCTTCACCCATGGCAGTCAAGTCTGCAACTGGGGTTTGAGACCATGGCGTTTCAGTCCCACCCACAGCGCGGCTCTTTGGATCCAAAGCTGTAACGTGCTCTTTCTCTTGCCTCGCCTTCTCCAATAAGGTGTCAGGAACAGGCACAAAACTCTCAAATCTCTTCTTTTTGTTCCTCAGGGAGTAATCTCCTATTTCCGGTATACTGTCCCACTCCTGGGTTGACATGGTGTGAAGCTTCCTCTTTAAATCTGCAAACTGTTCAGTGATCTTAGGGTTTGAAGCACGATACTTCTCAATTTCTTGTTTCAGCCTAGCCTCTCTCCTATCTTTTCTTCTTGAATCCATTCTAGTATCAATAGCCTCCCAAATGGCATCAGCTTCCTTGTCATCCTCGTCATACTCGGCTGATGCGAACAACCCAACATCATTTCCTTCGAACTCATCAAACTTCTGATTCTCATCATATCCCTTCTCATCATTCTCGTCATCTTCGTCTTCTTCACCGCCTCCTGCTTTTCCTCGGCCACGACCTACCCCAGCAGGTGGTGCGGTAGCACCGGCACCAATAGCAGATCTATCCGGAAGATCAGGGGCAGCTCGGGCAGGCCCAATATCAGATCTGGTGGTGAAACCGGTGGCACCACGGCCAAGCCCGGCCACATAATTGGCAGGCGGCTTGGTATTCAGAAATTCAAGCCTGCTCTTTGGTGGTAAGGGAGCCTGCATCCCGCCAAGCAGATGGACAGTGAAAGGGGTGATTGCGGAAGGGTTTATGCCTAGCGGCCTGGGTTAGGGTTCGATTATCTGAAATTTGATAAACACTATTGCTAAGAAATCGAAACAAGAATTCAAAAAGAAACAAACCGAGTATTTGGATGGAGAAGAGGCTGAATTAAATTAGGGATAAAAACCTTATAAGATTCCGTTCTCCAATACCACAAGTAAAAGCACCGCCTTATGCGTCGCCTTTTGCACCGCCTTATGCGTCGCCTTTTGCACCGCCCTAACTCGTTTGGTAACAAAAATGAATGGTTGGGTTCAATTGAATCTACTGAATGTATTCAATCGTATATGTTTTACTTGAAATTTGCAGTTTAACTCAGATCGATATGATTTAGTTTAAAGTAGTTTGATCTGATCTGATAAATGTGTAATTTCTGTATATTTTATAACTACGAAAGACCAATTTGATCTATTTGTTTAAGTCTGATATGGTCCAGTCATCTTGGACTGAAAACGATCCAAGTTAAAACATTTTCAAAATATTACAAGTATATTTTAGGAAAAATTGGTATTATTAATCCCAAATATCTACGATCTACTTTTCATAGTCCCCTTTAGAGCATCCACAATGCTGGAGCTTCTAGTCCTAATAAAGTGTGCCAAATGTCAATTAAACAAAAGGCCTTTCTATCTAAATTTTACATAGTGAAGTGACGTTACATTGAAACATCTAAAATGCTTCCAATGCATGTAGTCCGTCTGTACAGTTCAAATGTCCACTTGGAATTTTTTATTTTAATTATTGTGGCACTATGAAAGGATATGTGCGTACGTGTTCAAACTTGATTTTAGGATGTAGGTGGGCGAGTGATTTCCGCCGAAATTTTGGCTATTTATTTGTTTTCGTACACCGTATTTTGTTTAAATTTGTTGAGTCAGCAAGTTCATCACACATTCTACACTTGAAAAGCCTCCTTCACGGTGTGCAGTTATTTTTTTGCCAACTCAGCAAAGACTACACCCATTGGAGAGAATAAAAGATACGCAATGTCTAGTTTTATGAGGTGGCATATAAAATCTGCACTAGACGGTCATGCATTGCGGATGCTCTTATGGAGAATTCTAAATAGGACATGTCTATTCACACTTGTAAGAGAATAATAGTGAAAAAATGAGTTCTAACTAATTTTCGTAAAGGAAAGGAAATTTTAATTTGGTATAGTATATACACATCTCACATAACAGTTCTCTCTTCTCTCTAGAAGGATAAGAACCTTAGCGGCTGTCTCTCCTCTTTGTAGGGATTAAGATTTTTCATCGCCCCTATCAATATGGGGTTGGAGCGTCAAATTATAATGATTTTAAGTGTTCTAACGCTTGAGATTGCAACCATGTCAGATGAGATAGCATTGACGAATGAACGGGGTGCGATTGAGAGGTTGTACCGAGGCGGGATCGTGAAGCCTTGATTGGTCATTCCGACGGTGGTGAAGTTGGTATTCACCCACAATCCCATATTGTAAGAGCACGTCCTCCTCCGAAACCACCTCCATACCAGGAAGAGCTTTGTGGAAAGATTTTATTTCAGTATTATTTTCTCTTTAGTAGCACTTGTTTTTGTTTTTGTCTGAGTAGATTTGGTTTGAATGTTTGAATTTTTGGAGTTCTTTTGATAGACATGGTTTCAGTTTCTATCATTTTAGGCCTAAATTTGTCCGTTTCGGGTTTAGCGAGTCATGTTGCTTTGTATGAGGTATGTAACTTTAAGTCTACTCATAGGGTTCACGATTGAGTTTGTAAATTCTGCCTAAAGGTTATCTTGTATGTGCTCTCGATTTTAATATAACGGCCGCTCTTTTATGATAAAAATAACTAATTTTTGTAAAGGAAATGATGGACGGACCCTTTCTGGGGTTTTAGGTTTTTGGTGCGCAGCTTCTTGCACAGAACAAGTCAGCGGACGTTCTTCGTCCGATAATTCACACAGGCATCATTGCTCAATCGCAGGCCACCTTTGCAACAAGTTTATGTGCAGTCCATGGACAAATGGAAATGGAGGAGGGGGATGAGTTTCTAGTGGTGGAATCAATAGCGCTGGCTATATCCAGCGCAAACTTATCTCTGGTGGGCACAATTACGTCAGCAAAAATGGTACAACTTACTAATATCTGTGTTATTGTGACATCAATATGAAAACCTGAGAAGGGTGTCACAATAAAAGAGTTAGAATTTAGAAGATATATGTTTCAGTTTAGTGATGAGGATGATATGAATAGAGTTGTTGAGGAGGGATCTTGGATCTACCATCAAAATTTGATTATCATTACTAAATTGAAAAAAGGATATATACCCATGTTTGTCCCTTTGAATAGAACAAAATTTAGGAACCACCTCCATACCAGGAAGAGATTTGTGGAAAAATTTTATTTCAGTATTATTTTCTCTTTACTAGCACTTGTTTCTATTTCTGTCCGAGTAGATTTGGTTTGATTGTTTGAATTTTTGGAGTTCTTTTGATAGACATGGTTTCAGTTTCTATCGTTTTAGGCCTAAACTTGTCCGTTTCGGGTTTAGCGAGTCATGTTGCTTTGTATGAGGTGGCTAACTTTAAGTCTACTCATAGGGATCACGATTGGGTTTGTAAATTCTGTCTGAAGGTTTTCTTGTTTGTGCTCTCGATTTTAATATAACGACCGCTCTTTTATGATTAAAAAAAAATAATTTTTGTAAAGGAAATGGCGGACGGACCCTTTGGGGTTTTAGGTTTTTGGTGCGCACTTTCTTGCGCAGAACAAGTCAGCGGACGTTCTTCGTCCGATAATTCACGCAAGCATCATTGCTCAATCGCAAACCACCTTCGCAACAAGTTTATGTGCAGTCCATGGACAAATGGAAATGGAGGAGGGGGATGAGTTTCTAGTAGTGGAATCAATAGCGCTGGTTATATTCAGCGCAAACTTATCTCTGGTGGGCACAATTACGTCAGCAAAATGGTACGACTCACTAATATTCGTGTCATTATGACATCAATATGAAAACTTGAGAAGGGTGTCACAATAAAAGAGTTAGAATTTAGAAGATATATGTTTTAGTTTAGTGATGAGGATGATATGAATAAATTGAAGTAGATGAACTAAATTGAAAGAAGGATATATACCCATGTTTGTTCCTTTGAATAGAACAAAATTCTGGATCCAAGTCCATAAAATACTGATTGGTACTTCACTCTGACTAATGCTGAACGAATTGGTAATTTTTTGGGACGTTTTATTAAAGTAGATGAACACATTTTCTTTGTTAAATGGAATGCGTTCATGAGAATTTGTGTTAGCCTGGATATTGGTGAACCCATGAAAAGGAAACTATTCCTGCAAAATGAGTTAATGAGGAAGGATTCAATTACTGTGTCAACTTTCGTTATGAGAAACTGCTTCATCATTTTGTCCTCCCATCGTTTCCACACACATTGCCTTCTCCCCCAGTTGTCCCATAGTGCAATTGGGTTTATTTTCTCCAACCGTTTCCACCACTTCTTTACTATCCTGATATACTCAAAACCCAGGATGGATTTATTTTATGTTTCCAACAATCAAAACCTTTATGGATTTATTATGTTTCCAACAAATTCCTCCCACCATTTCCACTTCTTTATGCATTCAGAATAAGATTTATCCATAAAAAATAACATAATAGCATTTATTGGTCAAATAAACGTCCATATAGAAAATTGATATTTTTTAAAAACATTTTAATGACCATAACATTAAAAACAAATCATATTTTATGTTTTGAACAATTAAACTTCTTATTTTCATTGTTTACATGTGATATTATATGAAATTATATCTTCTTATGCGTGAATTACATTTGTTTATGTGTTGATTACATCTCAATGTACGCGAGTTACACCGTTAAATAAACCCTGCTAACGACCAAACATAATGATTCTTTAACTATATAATTTTTTATAACCCTAATATTAAAAAAACATAATTCACTATTTACAAAAAGTAATTGGCCAATTAAGATCAATTTTTCATTGTTTACATTGAGATCAATATTGTTTTTTCTTATATTATATTTTAGACAACTTACATTTCAACTTCACTCAAGTTACATCTTAAAAAAAATCATTGTTCACCCGTGTCTACTGTTCATGCGTATTTTATCTTGAGAGCATGATGCTCATAGTGGGCCGGTACAACGGTATAAGAACTGTTATGCAATACCCCAAAATCAGTTCATAGCAATTTCGAACATTGATAATAGTATAATATGTACATGGTTACTCAAACAGCTGACTGAACAGCTCTTACACCCCCACCCCCACCCCCTAGAAATAAATAAGTGTGCATTCCTATCAATACATTCTTGATGCTCTATAAGACATTTGTCCGACCTCACGTCCTCACATGCATGAGATGAAATTCCAAAACTATCATCATATTTTATTACTACTTGCATAAGAAAACATAACAAGTTGTTATAATTAAATTTTAAGACGAAATTGGAACCGAAGACAAAACCTTATAATAATACGGAACCAATAAGTTACCATCTGGGAGTGATTGTGGAGGTGTACCTAGTTGTTAAAACATGCAGGCCTTTTGGCATTGTAGTAAATATGTGCGATCATCTGAACCAGCTCATCTCCTGTTCGCATCTCTGTATGTCATTTAATATTTGTGTTAAGAAATTTAGATTTAAAAAATAAGACTAGGAACTGAGATCTTCTATGACATTTTTCTTGTGATGTTGTATGCCTTCATCCGATTGATTGAAAGACCATAATAATCAATGTTGACTTTTATTGCAATTAGTTAGCCAATAGACATCAACCAAAAAAATCAGACATCGACCAATATTAAAATACAAATAGGATGGGAGAAAGTGGGACAAAAAATTTTAAATTTAAAGACTAGTGCAAGTGTGTAACTCAACTATTAAGTAGATCTTGACGTACTACCTTTTTCCCGGTGTACAATGCTGTTTCCTCGCAAAAACAATATTTGGGGGCATTCTTTAACATCTAGAGCATATGCCAAATCCCTTTCAATATTGATGTCTATCTTGACTGTCTGCTCAGTAATAAAAAAACAAAATGATTGTTAACCACAGATGACAGACCACTATGGCAGTTTGGTAAGAGTTAGTTTGGTCGAATGACTGAATATGCTGGACTTTCTGAAAAGTAAAGCATTTGGTTACAAACCCGAGGAGGCAATCGATCCTTGGCCATCCAGTACACCTTGGCAGCTTTCTCTAGTTCCTTGAGAGCTATCCAGTTCTTACTCGCACTGTTATTAAAGAATGAATAAGAAAAACTTTTCTGGCAAAAAAAATTCACTGTCAACAAAATTTGGTAGGAGTTTGATTGTACTGCCTTTTGTATCTCTCAAAAACAAGGACAATCAGAGGGCTAGGATGAAAAGCAAAACTTTCCCACTCAAGACAATTGATTTCTTTCACCAAGCAATCATCAAGTTCTCCTTCCCAATTAATCTCAACACCATCTTCCCCAACAATGTTTCTTATCGGATGTCTCTCAAAATATTCTGATGCTCTAACTCCCCAACCCACATCTGCATCCAGAGGCCAATCTGGGTCCTCTTCCTCAACCACCATCTCCTTTTCTTTAGTTTCACCATCAGCGGCTTCCTCGTCACTGTCACCGCTACTACAACCAACGTCATGAATTGCAGCCATGCGGTCTTTCAAGATGTCTCCTTTGCCTTCCATGATATCTGGATTTTTCTCCCTTATAGCTGCAAAGGTACGTTCAAGAGAATCCCGCACGAAATCCTCAACTGCAGCTGATTCACTCCTACGACCACGTCTGGGCTTCTTAGGAATTGTAGTGGGATTTTTTTTACTAGATTCTATACCTAAACCTTCTAAAGCTTTGGACTTCATTTTCCTAGTCCTTGGAGGGACTTTTTTTTTAGCATTCCTGTCCATATTATCAGGTTCACTTGAGGTAGCAAAACATCCAACGTGTTTAAGGCCTTGGATTTGTTTGATAGCAGAGAAAGAGTTGAAATTACACTGATGTCTCTCTTTGAGACAAAGAGATGAACAAGGATATAGGTAAGGCTTCATGTTTGATGTAGAAAGAAACATCTTTTCGCCTCCGGGATACCCCCAAAGAACACTCGCAGCAACGTTTAGAGCTCGTCGGGAATCTGGGAGATTTCAAAATAAAAACTTGGTATGAATTAGCATTAACACCAATTAAGTAATTTATAAATTAAAGTCAACTTAATTACTGACTGCATGGCTGTAGGCAATAACCACTCATGTCACGGAAGCTTAGTCATTATAATTAAAAGTTAGATAAAGGTGTAAATAGCTTACTGTAGTGGACTATATATCCTTAATAACCATTCTGAACATATATTCACATATGTGACTATTTATTGCAGATGTTAACTTGCTTCTCAAGATGTACTTCACATCTGAAAAGTAGGTTAGCCATCGCTATTCCTAAGATATATTGGAAGGGGGATTTTTTATTAATAACAACAACATTACCACAGTGCTGCAAAGGCACCTGATGTGGGGTATGGGGGGCAGATGTGCGCAGTCCTACCCTTGCTCTAAAGCATAGTGAGACTACTTCCGAATCACCCATGATGAAAATCACATCGAAAATTGTTTGGACCGATTGTTGCTTTATAATAAAGAAGCGCAGAGTTCAGTTAACCATTTTCTTTATTCCATCATATTCTCAAGCCAAACATTAGTGAGTCTTAGGCTCCATTACAAATGATGGACCAGAATTTCGATTAACAGATTCATATTATTCCTTTTGTTAAGCAAGCGACAGCTTTGGGCATATTTCCACTGAGAAGAAAAGGAAAGATGAACAACTTGGAGTAGCTTGCTACTGTTAGATTTTAGTCTAATGGTAAATCAATCTACTCTGTATAAAAGTTTCTTTTTTATAACTCATTGGCTATCATTCTAATTCTTCCATTTAGGGTCTGTTTGGAACACAGAAAATTTTGAGGGAAAGAAAATGTGGAGGAAAATAGAAAGGCAATTCGGAAGGTAGATAAAATGTATAGGAAAATAAAAAAATCACTTCAAACTCCATATATCAATTTTAGATTTTCTTTTAAAATGTATTTAAAGATTGCTGACCATTATGGTCTTACGGAATGATGTCTAGCTTTGTTGTCAAACTTTTAAGTTTAATTCAGGGTGTTAAAGGTAGGTCAGTGATTCTTGGAGATAAGCTAATGCAGACGGTAATATCAACGAAAACCTCATCTTTTGCACCATCACATACTCGAAATGAAACATTTGAGCCCGTGGAAGGTTCATATATGTGAAGATTTCCAGACCTGATGAAATTTAACCACATTTAGGACTTACTTTCCCTTGAATAACATTGGCCCATTGGAGTCATCCATAAGAATGATCCATCTAGATGTAATTAATAATTTTGCTATGCAAAGAGAAGCAATATCTCATTACCTAAGGATCGCTAATTTGCTATCTTTGTTGTATCTTTCATTTTTGTAGTTATTATTAATTTAGCTTATCCTTTCACTGTTTATGTAGTTCTTGGAGAATTTGCTACTTGGGTTCATTATAACATTTCGCTTTACCTTATATAGCAATCTCGTGAAATCATAAATTATGAATTTATCTTTAGACTCAAAGTCAACAATGCTTATTAGTTATTACAGAGTTGAAGAAAGCCCATATGAAGTCAGACAGCGATAAGGGCAATTTCAGATTTTAGAAGCTTACTCCATTAATAGAACACACGGAAGAAATCGGTTCACCATTACAACAACAGCAACATCTAAGCCTTAGTCCCAAAAGATATTGGGGTCGGCTAACATGAATCGATACATGATATCACAACCAAAAGGAAAAGAAGGAATAAAGATAAAAAGATAAGTTATTATGAAAAGATAATATAAAAAAGATGAATATATATAGAAATGATAAAATAAAAAGGCTGCAAATAATGCATATATATATATATAAGGATAAAAAAAACTAGGAAAAAAAGATGAGGGAAAAAGATTATCAAGATCACTCCTTCACGTGAATACCCGCCCTCCACTTAGTTCTCTCCAAAGTCATGCCCTCATCCAACCCCAGAAGAAGCATATCACTTCGAACTCCCCTAACCCACGTCTGTTTGGGTCTTCCTCTCCCTCTCTTCCCTGCCTCTTCTCAAATCGGTTCACCATTATTGGCATTAAATTACTTGAATGTTTTTATTACATTGGGTAAAATGTGTTCTAATTTAGAAAAAGAATAAACCAAAATAATAACATTAAATTTAAATAAATAAAAAACTCGTACCGTCAACTTGTTGACACAAAATATCATTTTAGAATACATACAAGGAGCCAGTGACACGTAGCAATAATGAAAGAAATATCAGGCACTGGAAAAACTAACGCAGATTCATAGAATTCAATAAACCAATTCAAACAAAACACATAGGTCAATATATTATAAGCAGAATCATAGAGTATACTTAGAAAGTTAATGTAAAACTTTATAATGTACAAATATGTACAGGTCAAATCGAATAGTTGTTTTGATTTTTAGTACCAGGGAGTAACATGCATATTCTCACATTTATAGAATTAGTCAGCCTCAGATTATAGCAAATCCGAGGATTTTCAGGTATTTTTTGAAACCTTCAGTATGGGAATATGCATATTACTTGTTGAGTCCCAAACCCAAAAGAGTCGTATAGTGGTGAGCAAAATAAAGTTAAGTGAATTCATAAATAGCTTAAGATATAAACATTATATCTACAGGTCAGTTGATATATCTAATTTGTGTTTAAGTAGCTTCATTTTTATTAAAACTAAAGTTAAAGCTTTGCCAAAACTTCATATATATGTTCAGTAAGTATCTCAGTAGTTTATGTGCATAGTATAACTCATCATAAGCTGATGTACTTAAGCTATGCTTGTATGGGTACTTACGTTTGTGTGCATCTCACTGCCTCAGTAGCTAGTAGCTACTGTGCATAATGCAGCTTAAACCTGGTATTTTGTTAAGTTAGTACTCTGTATCATAAACTTATATAATTCTCTGTGGGTTTTAAAAAGTTTGTGTGTATACCTGTCTGAAGTACATTCAAAGTACATTCAAACATCTTAAGCATTTCGAAGTTATTGAGAGAAAAAAAAGAACCTTATGCTAACCTTTTGGCAAATGGTTCATGTGCAGGAGGAAGTAGCGAGATCACTACTACTCATTTACTGCTGGGAATTTGGTCGCAAGAGGGTTCAACAGGTCACAAGATATTGGCTGCTCTAGGCTTTAACAAAGAAAAAGCCCAAGAGTTGAGAGACTTGATTCCCAAATCTGATTTTGAGTAGGACTAATGATTGGTTACTCAAGGTTTCCATTTAAGTTCACAATAGTAATCCACAATGGGCTTACTGGTTCATATAATATGTGCCACCTTACCAGAATGTTAGTCTCAGGCTCTCAGCAGTCTCAATAATTTATATAAGATGATATTTATATAAACTTCAGAATGAAAATTTTAAATCAGCTATAATAATACTTAATTGATTATATTTTAACTATAAAAATCATCTTAGCATCTCAAGTGCATTAATCGGCAAGTTTAGCAATTCAACAGTTTCTGAAATCATCAAATATAAAGTTTAATACGTAGTAATTCTCCGTGATTCAGCGAAGCAAACAGACAAGAAAACCAACGAAGCAAGTAGCGAGTCAATAAATTTCTACAATAGTTCTTGAAGATTAAAGTCACCTGGGGAAAAAGAACGAGCAATTGATCGAAAATATTAAGAAAATTCTGCTAGTAGATAACAACGACGGAAAGATCGAGCGAGAGAAAACAGTCTCAGCAATCGATCGAGCCTCTTGTTGTGTTCCTCTCTCTATCTTCCCGACCAGTTGCTCTCGGTGTGGTGTCTAATCTTCATTCCCTCCCTCCTCCTCTCGCTTCTGTATCCCTTTCGCAATAAAGCCGATAATATAACTGAGAAACGCCATTTTGAGGGAGAACCAGGAGATTTTGGTGCTTCTCCCAACCCTAGCCCTGTGAAGCAGTTGCTCAAAGACGAGGAATAGAGGAGAGCTACGATTAGGGTTTATTTTCATCTGACCGACCTAATTAAACCAGGTCATGGAAGGAAACAGTTGGAGGTAAAAGACATTGGCACGCTGAAAAAACGAAACAATTCGAGTTCAAATCGGTGGCATGCTGAAAATTTATACTAGTAATTAATTAAGGGTGTTGGCCTTCTTAATTACTACCTCCGTCCCATTAAGATTGAGACAAGAGAATGTGGCACGATTATTAAGAAAAGTGGGTTTGTGTGGTTGATATTAAATTGATAAAGTAAGAATAAAGTAAGAATGATTTAGAGCCACACAATCTTTACCAAATTTGGTATGGGACAATCTTAGTGAGACTTCCCGAAAAGGTAAAATGGGACAATCTTAGTGGGACTGAGGGGGTATCAGTTAAAATTGATCTCTATATACTCCCTCCGTCCCGAATTGAATTGCAAATTTTGACCGGCACAAGGATTAAGAAATGACAATAAATGATGTTTGCTTTTTACACTTTTGCTCATCTTTCTAAAAGTAGATGTTTTTAAGTTAATGGAGAAAAAGTAAAAGTAAGGGTAAATTTGTCACTTTATTTTTATTTACATACCTAAAATAGAAAGTGGAAAATTATTTTGGGACAACCGAAAAAGGAAATTTTGAAAATCAAATTGGGACGGAGGCAGTATTTAAAAATGGGACCGTGAGGACATAACTGTTCCCGCCTTAGAATATTATATTAACAAGTGGCACACGCATTGTAGATTTCTAGCAAACATTTTATAAATTATACACGATGGGTAACTGGAGATATACGTGGCACACACTTTGAACACATCTTGATAACATCTGTAGCATAAGAATAAAGGTGTGAATAAACATGCCACTAGGGTGAAAACACCTTTGATATTCAATATCTATAAGCACTGATCTGATTGATCTAAAAAAAAAGCACTGATCTGATTGATCTAAAAAAAAAGCACTAATCTGATTAAATAAATTTCAACTTTTTTGCTGATATGTATACATGGCAGCATAACTTTTCAGAATCTGAAATGTTATTTTACGATCAAAAATAAATTGACTAGCATATTACTTTATTACATAGCGGTGGACGGGTGGTTGCACTGTGACCGTTTATGGTCTCACAACTTGCACGTACTAACATATTTAGAAGACTAGAAATAGGATTTTCCAGCACTCACTTCGGTCACAATTTCTGGAAAACAAGAGCATGTCTACGTAGCTTCAAAATTGTTACAGTATTCTCTCTACATATGAGATCATCAAAATCTATATAACGTTTATTTTCTACATGATTACATATGTTAAGTCTATTCTAGATTTTTCATTTTATGTTGTACTACGTATATTTTGTTACAGTTAAACATCTAGATCTGAAGACGTCCCCAAAATCCAAGAGCTTAACATCTCAAAAACAAACTGGGCAATGCAAGGACTGGTGAGTGCTTATGGTTATTTAGCTTATACCAGAGAAAAAGTAACTAACATATTGGTGTGCTTTTTTATGATCTACATTCTTTCTTGCAAGTTAGTTTCTTCTTTATTCCGACAATGCTTCCTAAAACTGTTATGTACATACCTCATCAATCATCATTCCTCCATTTTGCCGTTCTCTAAACCGTGTTTACAAAAACAACTTATATTGGTGTGGTTCTATATACAAGTACTTCGTAGTATAGTATTACCCCACAAAAACACAAATACGGATTCTGGACATGACCAGAACAATTTAAGCAACTACAGAGAACATAAAAGTCATATATCATCTTAACATGTGATGAACCTGAAAGCAAAAATTATTGTGAAAGAAGCTCATAGCATTGCATTTGTTGGCGCAGAACAAAAAAAGCAACACAACCTGAAATGGTGCTCAAAGCTGAAACATCTACACGGCCTCCTAATGCAGCCGAAAGAGCTGTCCTTTGGCTAAGTGCATGTTCTCATTCCTGGTTCCTCTTCATATATTGAGTTTATGAAGAGCATTTAACTCCAACTCCTTTTCAACCCATTTCAGGCACCTCACAACCAGGGAGAAAGTATATATCTCAGTCCCAAATAACCAAAAAACATAATAATTGAACCCCTACTTATACAAAAAGGAAACAAAAGATCATTATGGACACCCAAACAATGAAACAAGGTACTATTTTTCATCTAAATATGACTCCCAAAGTACTATTTGTCTTTGTTTCTACTTTATTGAAGTACAAAACAATACATCCTTAAACAATTGAGATCCAGAAAAGCTAAGACACATGATGAGTAAATGTCAAATAAACAATTAAATATGGAGTACATGCAATATTCAAATACAGAGTATCATGATATTGTAAGATGAAACCTAAAAAATGGATAGACATTACAATTTTGCAATAAATTCATAGACTATTTATCATTTCACAAAACTAGAAAATTATAGACAAAAATATTTGAAATATGCTACGCATTTTAAATTAAAGATTTTGATTATTTTTCAAATATGTTGTTCTACTTTATGAATATCCAATTTTAAAAATTATACGGTGAATACTTTCGAAGTATTGTACAGAGTATCATTAGCTTGAATTAAATAATTTATGTTTTTTTCTAAATCGATTTGGACTATCATGTTACTTTTAAGTTGTCCAACATGTGAGAATATAAAGTGTACTAGACCTGAGCAGCAACTAGGGAATATTGGTATTGGTATAGATAATTCGTATTTTGTTAATAACAATATTCATGTTATATTTAATGCGCTATGTTATATTTTGTTAATTCGTATTTTGAGTATTATTCTTTCTTAAATAATGAACATCATTCTCTTCCTTCTTATCATGCTACTATATAAGATATTGTTTTCTTATTTTAATAATATACGTAGGTTGCGATTCCAGTAAAATCAATGTTTAACGTGAGAACGTGAGAACACTCACATTAAACTCAACGTGATGCCAATGGAAATCAACTGGTGCACTTTTTTAACTTTTCTCAAATAAGTATGTGAGTATTAAATAATTATGATGGCATTTTGGTAAATAATATGTTTAACGTGAAAAAAGTGCAATAGGCGAATCTCATTATGCATCACATTAAGGTAAATGTGATGCATGTTTTCACATTTTTACAATAAACATTGTTCTCATTTAATCTTGAATATATATATGTGTGTTTGCGCGCGCGTGTGTATGTATACACACACACTTCGCACTATAGGACATGTATAATATGCCTGAATAGGAATATCAGTATTTTATACTATGTAAATAGTTAGTTTTCTTAAATATACCTTATTTCTTGATTTTTTTTCAAATGTTAATGTGCAAAATAGGATAAACAAATGACAAGATTTTTTTAAAATTATATACTAGTTATAATTAAAACATAAATAAAAACTTCTTTGAGCACCTCCACCCCATGGTGGGCTCCTCCATATCATTTTTACATTAAGTATGCATCCAATAGAACGATGCCATGTGGCAAGTAATCCATTTTTTTATAAAATGTCATAACTTTTTCATTTTTGCTTCAATTTTTATAAAAATTATACCAAATTAAATATCTTTTTATGATCTTTCATTTGACACCAATATTATATATGTAACTTTTAAAAAAATCTAATCAAGTCTCATGAACGGTCGAAAAATGTATATTTACTACTCCCTCCGGTCCTAAATAAACTTCACACTTTCACTTCACACAAATTAAGAAAATAAATTTGACTTTACTGTAGAGTACATTGTTGTGACACTGTTTGGCACTGTTTGGCACTGTTTTAAACTGTTTTGATGTAGAAAATTTACCAAATAAGGAAGGGAGAAGAAGTGTGAAGTTTATTTTGGACCTACCCAAAAAGGAAAGTATGAAGTTTATTTAGGACCGAGGGAGTATTATTTAAATCTAGTCTAGTCAGATCTGATTCTATTTGTTTGAATCTATCTGGTTTAAAATCAGTTCAATTAAAAACTAACTAATATTGTTGGTCCAAAATAGGACGCTTGTAGGCTTTTAGGAAAGCTACATACGACATTCAAGAAGGAATTAGGAAAGCAAGAACGAAAATGGAAAGTAGCTAGGAAATTTAGTTGCCAGAAATAGCATATAAAAGTTGTTTCATAATCTGAATTACAACACACCCTTTATAGGCGTATACAAATCGTAACTGCTACCGATAATAATGACTAATTAATTACAACATTAATACGGAATTAAATACATAATTAATAACGCATTAATTGCTTGACCGTTACTCTTCCGTGCTGGGAGGTTGGCCGGACAGGCAGGCTCCCCGCTGGGCTGACAGACAGGCTCCAGGTTGTGGATTTGGATACAGGGGTCCAAGTTCGGGGCTTGGGCTGATTAGGCTCTGGGCCTAGTCCCATTACTCCATCAAATACCATTCACATCATAAATCTAGTCATGTAACATATGTGATCGTAATGTGGAATCAACATGGTGTTGATGTAGTTTTAAAAGATGGGCCCCTCCATGTCTGAAATTAGTTCAACAAATAAAAATGAAGGTAATTAGTTTACTAGAATTAAAAATGTTACTTATTCAAATATATAATCTAATATAGAATTTCCAAAAAAAATCTAATACGAAGTATACTTATTAAAAATTATATTATCAACAAAACATTATCAAAAATATAGTGTTGAGTTTAATTCGCCGCAGCCCGGAAGTTCAACACCTCTTCCGGAGGGGTTCATGGCTATGGGGTGATAATAAAATATAAACAATGATTTTTACGTGGAAACTCGGAAAGGGAGAAAACCACGGGACTGTTTAGGCTAATGTCCAAGCCCGCTCCTTTTATTACTGCTCTCCCCACCAATACATTATACAAGCTCCATTAATGGAGGATTCAAGCTAACTATATAGAAGGGGGGGAGAAAGAGGGATCAAAAGAGGGATCAAAAGAGGGATCCCTTATTAGGAGGGAGGTCCTCCTATTTATAGAGGAAAGGGGGAGGGGTGCTCCACCCTAACGGGCCGAGTGGGCCGAAACGGGCCTCTTGGGCCTAGGTGGGTCGAATGGGCAGAAATGGGCCCAAAGGCCGAAACAGACCTGATAGGCTAAAATGGGCCTTACTGATTGGGCTCTGTACTACGTAAAGTCTTGGGCTCATGAACAGTAATAGGTCGGGATGATATATCCCAACACAAGTCCCCCAGTTTCTTGAGTAGTGAGCGTGCGAATCTGCTCGAGAAAATATACTCTTGCCTGCGCTCTTCCTCTGTCTTGCTGGAAACTGTGTCTTCGAATAATCATAATATATGAGTGGGTGTCTGCCCCTCTGAATATACCCTGCTGGTGAGGCGCTCCCCTCCCGACGGGGTCGGGCAAGGGATGATCTTCCCTGGACACTCTCCCTCTGAATGTATCAGGTGGGAGTAGAGGACTCTGACTCGAGCTTCCCAATGGAGAAGCTTAGAGGTCCCTGCACAATAAAAGCTGACGACGCGGAACTGGCTCGATATGATGTACATGTATGTATGGATGTATGAGAGATGATGCATGAATGTATGAATGCATGTGATGTATGGGTGCCATGTATGAGAGAGGGCATGTAAGATGTGATACAAAGCGGTGAATGTCATCGGTAAACCGGGCACGATGGCGCTAAGGGGCCGAGCGTGCTGCATAAGACGTTCGTTGCCACGGTATGGTCTTATTTTGCTGAGATATGGTCTTACTTTGCCATGGTGTGGTCTTACGTCGAACAAGAACCGGACACGATCGCGCTGAGGAGCCGATCGTGCTGCATAAGACGGTGGTCACCATCCTGGAAGGAATGGGTGAGCCGACCGTGAACTAGACACGATGGCGCTAAGGGGCCGATCGTGCTGCATAAGATGGTGGTCGTCACCCTGGAAGGTATGGACAAGCCCGACCATGAACTAGGTACGACGGCGCTGAGGGGCCGATCGTACTGCATAAGATGGTGGTCCCCATACTGGAAGGAATGGGTGAGTTGACCGTGAACTGGACACGATGGCGCTGAGGAGCCGATCGTGCTGCATAAGATGGTGGTCACCATCCTGGAAGGAATGGGTGAGCCGACCGTGAACTGGACACGATGGCGCTGAGGAGCCGATCGTGCTGCATAAGATGGTGGTCACCATCCTGGAAGGAATGGATGAGCCGACCGTGAACTGGACACGATGGCGCTGAGGAGCCGATCGTGCTGCATAAGACGGTGGTCCCCATCCTGGAGGGGATGGGTGAGCCGAACCGTGAAGTGGACACAATGGCGCTGCGGGGCCGATCGTGCTGCATAAGAGGATCGTCGCCATCCTGGAAGGATTGTACGAGCCGACCGTGAACTGGACACGATGGCGCTGAGGGGCCGATCGTGCTGCATAAGACGGTGGTCGCCATTCTGAAAGGAATGTACGAGCCGGCCGTGAACTAGACACGATGGCGCTGAGGGGCTGACCGTGCTGCATAAGACGGTGGTCGCCACCCTGGAAGGAATGTACGAGCCGAACCGTGAAGTGGGCACGATGGCACCGAGGGGCCGATCGTGCTGCAAAAGATGGTCGTCCTCATCTGCTCGTTGTGCCTAGCTCATTCCGTCTCTCTTTTTGGGTCTTCAAGGGTGGGGATACTCGTCTCCAGGCCCTCGGCCTCTGGAGTGGAAATGCTCGTCTCCAGGCCCTCGGCCTCTGGAGTGGAAATGCTCGTCTCCAGGACCTCGGCCTCTGGAGTGGAAATGCTCGTCTCCAGGCCCTCGGCCTCTGAAGTGGAAATGCTCCTCTCCAGGCCCTCGGGTCCTCTGGAATAGGGCTGAGCAAAACCGACCCTACCCGAAGAACCCGATCGGGTGAACCCGATTTTTTGTTATTGGGTCGGTTGACCCGACCTGAACCCTCGAACCGACCCACCAACCCGTTATTTTTTGGACCGACACCCAGCGGGTAGGGTCCTCCTAATCCCTACCCGAACCGCCCGAAAACCCGACCAAGCCTAAGCCCAGTGGCCCACTTCCCTGGTAACCCGGTTCCCCCAAGGCCCCAACTCCCCAAGCCTATAAGGCCATTACCCAACTCCCCAAGCCCATTAGCCCACCCCCTTTCCTTTATCCCTATTTCCCTTCGCCGGTTAACCACTTAACCCTAGCTTACTGATGCACACTAATTAGTAGTGCATAATTACATGTTTTTATGTTTGATTTATGTTAATTGTTTGACGTTTTATTTAGTTTGTAAACATTTATGTGATTTCAGTTGTAATTGTATCTTAGTCTTTATTTGTCAGTTGTAAAGTTTAGTTAGGATTTGTGGTTTTGGAAAGGGAGACTTTGAAGTAAAGAAAAAGAAGATTTGGCTGCCCAGGAGCAAATACCCGACCGGGTATAATACTTGACCCGGTCGGGTAAGAAGTGAAAAACGAAAATGCAAAGAAAGTGCATGGCCCGGTCGGGCCCACTACCTCACCCGGTCGGGTGAGAAGTGACCGGGGACAACCCGGTGTGCAAAGATCACCCGAACGTGAAGAATATCCAATTTTTGCACTCACCCGGTCGGGTCCCTTACCCCACCCGGTCGGGTCTGACTTGACCCAGACACTTTAACATGCTGAAGATCGCCAGAACGTGGAGGATATTTGATTTTGACATGGACCCGGTCGGGTGAGTACTTGACCCGGTCGGGTACCCGGCCAAAGGTGTTGAAAAACACCTATAAATAGCACACTTTTTCTTCACAAAAAATCATCCCTTCTTCCATACTCTTTAGCTCAGTTTAGAATAGCATTTCTTTATATTTTTCTAGCTATGTTTAGTCTCCAAATGAGGAGCTAAACTTCCATTCTTGGTGTTGCTCTTGAAGCTTGTTGATTATTAAAGTTGTGAGTTATTTTCTTAACTTCTTTCCTTGAATATTAATTAATAGTTCTTTCCTTAATACCATCTCTATATTAATGTTGGGGAGTGTTGCTAAGATGACAATTAGTTAACATCTCGACATTAATTAGAATGATATTTTCTTCCTCTATATTAATATTGGGGAGTGTTGCTAAGATGACAATTAGTTAACATCTTGATATTAATTATAGTAGGCTTCATCTTCTTTAATAATATTCTTCCTTGAATATTAATTAATCCCTACTTATATTTCATATTAATATTTTGAACATTACTTAAAGGATCAACTAGTTTTGTTTCATATATTAATTATTACTAGAAGCGATCAACGAACCGATGGTTAATCGTTGATGGTTTCACAAGTAAGTAACTTCGGTTTATAAATGCACAGTCGTGGTTAATAAACTTAAGAGGGATTAATTTTGTTGGTTAAACCAAAACCGCTTGTGTTGAGGTTATCAATCTCAATTGATTTCATCAAGGAGTTAGAAAGATTAAATGCTACTATTAAATCGGTATAAGGCGTTGTTCTATATTTGATTAATAGTAAGGATTATTAATGAACGGTCGTTGTTAATAACTACCCTCGATGAAGTGGATATACTCCCCGATTGAGTATTCGAGAGGGAATAAGTTATAGATATAACAATGATCGACTAAAATATATCAACAAGTGGAAAGTAGCAATGCCAAGTCCTTTTTATCTTTGAATTAAACACTTATAGGTTGTTCATCTTAGTTCTTAATTAAATTAAATCACTCAACCCAAATCCCCCCTTTTTATTTACTAAGTATCATAAAAAGAGAATTATTCCTTTCCCTGTGGATACGAACTCTACTACGCTATACTACGTATAAGTGTTAGTATTGAATTTATTTTGACGCACCGTGACAAAGTGCTCGTCAAATTTGGCGCCGTTGCCGGGGAGAGGCAATTAATTTTTCTTTTTATTTTATTTCAAGAAAAAAAAAGAATATATAAAGATTTCTATTTTGGCTGAGCTTTGTTTGAGTATATGGTTAAACACCGATCTATAAACCAAATCACCTACCAAACAAAGCCCGAAACAGAACAAGCCTTCGAGAGATTCAGGAATCTATTTCCGAATACTTCTTCGGAGGAATCATCAAGTGCTAGTTCTCATTCTAGCGAATCCGAAGAGTCCTTCCACATGGCCCTGGAAACAAGAACGCTGAGGGAGCTCACGGCTCCGAATCTAAATCAACAACCCTTATGTATCACTTTTCCAACTCTTGATACAAGGGTCACATTCGAGCTAAAATCTGGGCTCATTCATCTACTTCCCTCTTTCCATGGCCTACGAGGGGAAGATCCAAACAAACACTTGTCGGAATTCCATATTGTGTGCACAAGCATGTGCCCTAATGGCGTGTCCGAGGAGCAAATCAAGCTGAGAGCCTTCCCATTCTCTCTCAAAGACATCGCCAAAGATTGGTTATTTTATCTTCCCTCGGGGAGCATCAATACATGGGCTCAAATGAAAAAGAGCTTCCTTGACAGGTACTATCCCGCATCTATCTCTTCAAGTCTCAAGAAGAAAATCAGCAACATTGAGCAAGCGGATAATGAGACCTTATATGAATATTGGGAGCGCTTTAAAAAATTATGTGCTAGTTGCCCATATCATGGATATTCAGAACAAGATCTCATCCTCTACTTCTATGATGGACTTGTTGATCAAGATAGACGCATGGTGAATGCGGCATGCGGAGGGGGTATTGTTAACAAAACCCCTTCTCAAGCAAGAGACCTCATTTCGGAGTTGGCCGAAAACTCGAGACATTACAACGGAAGGTCATCATCGAAACGAGTCATGGCAGCGGAATCCAACAACTCGTTGGAGAGTCAAGTAGCCGGCTTGACTTCTTTGGTTAAAGATTTCCTTTTAAATCCAAAAACCCAAGAAGTCAAGGTCTGCGGCATCTGTTCAACGCAAGGGCATCCCACAGATTCTTGCCCAACGCTACAAGAAGAGAACTCCGAGCAAGTCAATGCTTTGGGGTTCCAAGGTCAAAGGAGGTACGATCCTCAAGGCAATACCTACAACCCGGGATGGAGGGATCATCCGAATTTAAGGTACGGAAATTCTCAAACAAATCCTCCTCCTCAACAATACAAACCACAAGGCCAAACATCGAACTCGAGTATGTCCACCGAAGACATGATTCGAGCGCTGTCCGTTAATATGGGAACAATGCAGCAAAGCATGGGGCAATTCCAACATGAAACCAAGTCGAGCATTCAAAATTTGGAAACTCAAGTTAGCCAAATTTCAAATGCCGTAAGTCGACTTGAAGCAAAAGATTCGGGTAGGCTCCCCTCCCAAACTGAGCAAAACCCGAGACAACATGTCAATGCAATCATGTTGAGGAACGGTAAAGAATTGCAACCACAGGAAGTTGAGGAGGAGAAGCAAGAGGTTGATCTTGAAGAAGGCTTTCAACAAGAAGAGGAGAAGCCAACGAAGACTAAATTCCCTCCACGATTATCATATGAACCACTCCCTCCATTCCCTGAGGCATTGAAAGACACAAGGAAGCTGAAGAATGATCGGGACATCTACGAAACATTCGTCAATTCTGAGGTAAACATCCCACTCTTCAAACTGATCAAAAGTGTTCCCCGTTATGCAAAGTTCTTAAAGGAACTATGCACAATGAAAAAGAAAAATAAATGATGGATAGTGTACCCGAGGGGTAGCTTGTCCAAGGGGTTATTGCGGAGAATAACTAGAGAGAAGTCAGAGCAAATAAGTAAGAGAGAGAGTGTATATTCGATATGTATTCAGCGTGGTTTACAATGGGGGAAAGGGGTGCTATTTATAGTAGTAATAAATGCTAGATAAGGACACGTGTCAGTTTTCTGGTGGTCGAGGGGTCACCTCGACCGGGGTGGCACTGGCACTCGCATGTGGCCGCATTAAATGCGGTGGTTGGATGTGACGTTTGTACTTGGTACGGTGATCTAGGCGCATGTGAAGAGGATATTATGTCGAGGTGGATGCCTTCGGTTGAAGGGTGCTGAGCCGAAGGCTCTTCTAATCGAGGGCTCCTACCTGTCGAGGGCTGTAGGTGCCGAAGGCTTGGTTTTCAAGCCTTGTTCTCCTGTGATGCCTCTTCTAACCGAGGGCTCCTACCTGCCGAGGGCTGCAGGTGCCGAAGGCTTGGTTTTCAAGCCTTGATCTCTTGTGATGCCTCTTCTAACCGAGGGCTCCTACCTGCCGAGGGCTGCAGTTGCCGAAGGCTTGGTTTTCAAGCCTTGATCTCTTGTGATGTTTCTGAGCTCGATTCCGTCACTGGTAGCCTTCGGCCATGGGGCCGAAGGCACCCCTTTGCGTATTGTGGGCTGCTTAGAGCTCCATTTTTCTGGGCTCGGCCCGTTTGGGCCTGTTGGGCCTGATTGTAGTGGAGGAAGTATGTGGGCCGGGGGTCCCTGGGCCATATACTCCATCAATAAACTGGAAGGGAAACAAAAAGTTGAAGTAAGTGAACGTGTCTCGGCCATTTTTAAAAAGAAACTTCCCGAGAAATGTAGCGATCCAGGCATGTTCACTATTCCTTGCAAAATAGGGGATACCTTATTTTCTAAGGTCTTGTTGGATTTAGGAGCGTCAATAAATGTCATTCCTTATTCATTATATAAATCCTTACAACTCGGCCCACTACATCAAACTGGTGTAGTGATTCAACTAGCGGATCGGTCTAATACTTACCCGAAGGGTGTAGTAGAAGATGTGCTAGTAGAAGTAGAAAATTTGATGTTCCCTGTTGATTTTTATGTTCTGGAAATGGGAGATGATAACCAAACTACACCCATCCTCTTGGGTAGGCCCTTTCTGAAAACCGCAAAAACAAAAATAGATGTGGCTAATGGTTCATTAACTTTAGAGTTTGATGATCAAAAGGTAGAATTCAACATTTTTGATTCTACGAAAAAACAAATTAAAGACCAATCTCTTTGTTCTCTAAAAGTTTGTGAACCACAAACCCCGAATATTTTTGTTGAGAAAAAATATGAGAAAATCAAACTTTTTGAAAAAGAAGAATTTTTCAAATTTTCAAAAGGAAAATGGATCCCACCTGGGATTAAAGTGATACCAGAGAAGAAATCCCGGCCTTACTGGAGAAGACCGAAAAAGAAAAATGAAACAAGGGACGTTCGTGATCCCACATAAAAGAAATATATATATATAACGTCGTGCCGCGACATAAAATCAAGCGCTTCTTGGGAGGCAACCCAAGTTTTTATTTTCAATTTCATTTTTTTTTCAGTTCGTGTGTTATAATTTTTTCAAAAAAAAAAAATTAAAATGAGCCTGGGCTGAAACCCGGCCGGGTATCTCAAACAGCCCGGTCGGGTTTATTAATAAAAAAGGAACACCCGGGCAACACGGCCACCGGGTTGCTAACAAAAAAAAAACATATGCCCGACCGGGGGCTTCCAAAACCCGACCGGGCTGCGCATTTTTTTTGGCTCCGAACACACTGGAATGCATACCCAATCGGGTATTTCTGAAACTCGGGCGGGTACGAATTTCTTTTTTAAAAAATCAGAAAGACCCGACCGGGTACCCTAAAGCACTCGACCGGGTACTCATTCCAGTAGCTACTGGATAACAAAACACCGCACAGCCCGACCGGGCGGAAGACTTCACCCGACCGGGTAAACGGGAAATTCCACTTAACCAGGTCGGGCTCACCCCCTTCCCCTCCCACTTCTTCTTCCTCCCAACAACAAAATTCCCAAAATCCACCATTTTCAAACACCCAAACCTTCGAATCTCCCCATTTCCTTAACCAAATCCACTAAAAACCCCCATTTTCTTCATCTCCTCACTTCCCTCTCCATCTCTATACCCATAAAATCCCCCAAAACCTTCCCAATCAACCAAACCCAAAAACCCTACCCAAAATTCGAAAATCCCCATTCTTGGACATTCAAGGTCCGAAATCTCCCCAAAAATCCTCAACCAATACCATATTCTTACTCTCCTCACCATCCTCTTCAACCCCATACTCATAAAAGCCATCCAAATCCCACCCTACCCCAAAATCCGAAAATCACAAAAAAAAAATCTAAAAAAAAAAATTTGAACTTCAATGGCTCCAAGAAAGTCAAAAGCCTCTTCCTCAAGGGGAAATCGAGCTATCCCACCGGTAGTGGGCTATGAGAGCGTGGAGTTTGCTACGGAGGCTCAACGGAACAACTTCATCAACCAAGCAAAAAAGGGAGGTAAAACAATCCCGTTTTATGTGCTTAACTACTTTAGCACTACTATGGATTGATACTGTGATGCGTGACATATTTGCAAGAATTGGAATATCTAGAATGTTTGAAATGCAATATGTGACATATCCTCATTTGGTGTATGAATTTTTTAGCTCATTTGCGTATACAAAAGATGTGAATGATCATGCAAATGACATAATCACCTTTCGTTTACTAAATGAGGATCGTTCATTAACCAAACGAGAATTTGTTCAACATTTTGGTCTCCCATGGTTTGATGAAGCACGTACATATGATTCTCTTGTGGGGTATGAATTGTGGAGAAGAATGACCGGAAAGAATGTGGTTGATCTATCTAAACTGAGTGTGAATCGTGTGCAACATCCGGTCTTCCGACTATTCTTAAAATTTTGCTCAAATTGTTTCCTCGAAAGACTGAATAATCATCACACACGTATCTGGGATGTGTGTGTTCTAGCACAAGCTGTTTTGCCGGGTCCAAATCAAGTTGATGTTGCCACCATCTTATGGACTCATTTCAACAACGTGGCAACATCAACAGGACCAATTGCTATGGGGGGCCTCATCACACATCTAGCCACTTTATATGGTTTTATAGACCCCGACCCCATCACCTCAAGACACCTTATTTGTACTGAATGGCTTTTACAAAAGATGCTAGACTTGGTCCCCTCGCACACAACACCAACTGGGGCACACATCTATAATTGGCGCATTCTCCCACGCACTTCCATCTACCTCCAGATACCCTCAGCCGACGTCCCCCTGGATATCATCAATCACCAAATCGGGGATGGTCATCACTATTGTCTTCCCGGGGCAATCCCGGATCATTATGAAGAACCCATCCAAGATGAAGATGATGAAGAACCCCCAATCATACCCGAACAACCACAACCTCAAGCATTCCACTACACACCTTTCGAGCAACAAATGCTCGATAACATGGTCACGCTCAACCAGAGCATTGTGAGGATGGAGGAGCAGCGGCAAGCAGACTGGCGTAGGTATGAGGAAGACAGGCGGAGATCTGAGGAGGATCAGCGTAGAACCTTTGGTCCGATATACTCATATATAGCACACCAGGGCTCCTTTTCCTCTATGACCACTCCACCTCCTGCACCATCATGGTATGACCCCTCTCAGTGGGGTTTCTTTGGAGGATCGAGCTCCGGTGGTGGAGGCTACGATGGTGGTTATGGCGGGGATCACATGGATGAGGACGGACACCAAGGTGGAGGTCTAGGCGGACACTAGGGACAGTGTCAGATCCTAAGTGTGGGGGTGCAGAGATCTTCCCGGTATGTTCACATTCACACTCTTTATTCTTGTTATCTCAAAAAAAAAACGAAAGCTTGTTGAGTTGAAAACCCACAAAGGGCAGCTTAAGCAAAAATAAAGCAAAAATAAGAGTGAGTTTGTGAGATTTGAGAAAAATTAAAAAAAAAATTAAAAAAAATGTGGGAAGTTGGGTTGAAAACCTGAAAAGGCACCTAGGCAAAATGAGAGAATGAGAGAAAGTTATTTCTTTTGATTTTGCAGGATCCTGAGGGCGATTACTATAGAGAGTTCGGATTGAAATTGAAGACTCATCTTTACTCTTTTTGTTTTGGAGATACTTTATGTATTTGTTATAAACACTTGTGAATGTTGGTGCTGCTACTCTTGTCATTTAGGACTTCTTGGATTTGATTTGATTTACTCGAGACGAGTAAAGGTTTAAGTGTGGGGGTATTTGATGCACACTAATTAGTAGTGCATAATTACATGTTTTTATGTTTGATTTATGTTAATTGTTTGCCGTTTTATTTAGTTTGTAAACATTTATGTGATTTCAGTTGTAATTGTATCTTGGTCTTTATTTGTCAGTTGTAAAGTTTAGTTAGGATTTGTGGTTTTGGAAAGGGAGACTTTGAAGTAAAGAAAAAGAAGATTTGACTGCCGAGGAGCAAATACCCGACCGGGTATAATACTTGACCCGGTCGGGTAAGAAATGAAAAACGAATATACCTTGGTCTTTATAATTCTTGTTTCCAGGGCCATGGGAACTTGGGTATTTGATCAACAAGCTATTAGGAGAGCTCTAGGTGAAATGCTAATCATTGATGAGCTTCCTTTTAGATTTGTAGACAGACAAGGTTTTAGGAATTTTGTTGCTGCAGCCTGTCCTAGGTTTCAAATTCCTTCTAGATGGACAATTGCTAGAGACATTTTTCAAATATACCTTGATGAAAAAATGACTCTAAAAAGGAATTTTAGGGAACACACTCAGAGAGTTAGTATAACTACTGATACATAGAACTCTACTCGGAGGATAAATTACATGTGCATTACTGCTCATTTCATAGATCATCAGTGGAAGCTCCAAAAAAAAAAATCCTTTGTCCCTGTCACCTCTCACAAAGGGGAGTACCTTGCTAAAGCCCTAGAGAATTGCTTACTTGATTGGGGTCTGAAAAGTATTTTTACTGTGACTGTTGATAATGCTAGTAGTAATGATACAGCTGTTGGGTTTTTCAAGAAAAAATTAGTAGCCCGGGGTGCTTCTTCTATAAAAGTAAAGTATGTTCATATGCGTTTCATTTCACACATCTTGAACTTAGCAGTACAAGATGGTCTTAAAGATTCATACACTTCAGTCATGAGAGTTAGGGAAGCTGTTAAGTATGTTAGGAACTCACTTGCTAGGCTTCAAATGTTCAAAGATATATCTGATTTGATAGGAGTGGAAGCCAAGAGTGGTCTGCACCTGGATGTTCCAACTAGGTGGAATTCCACTTACCTGATGCTAAAATCTGCAGTTTGTAATGAGAAAGTGTTTGAAGCCTATGAGGAGAATGAATCTGCATATAGTACTGATTTGGGTTCTGACATGCCTGATGTTTTAGATTGGATTGTTGTTGAATCTTTTGTGACCATTCTAAAACATTTTTATGAAATGACACTAAGAATTTCAGGCTCACTATATGTTACTTCTAATACCTTTTTTCTGAAATTTCTGATTTGTTCCTTGTCCTCAAAGATATGGTTGCCTCTCCAACTACTTCTGTCAGTGCCATGGGGAGTACTATGAAATCCAAACTAGACAAGTACTGGGGTGATCCTGAAAAGACGAACTATCTAATCTTCTATGCTAATGTCTTAGATCCTAGGGACAAGTTTGAGTATATGCCATTTCAGCTAAATGCTTTATATGGTGATAAAAAAAGGTGCTTTTTTTTTCTAAAAGTGAAGTCAGGTCTAACTGAGTTATTTGTTGATTATGTTTCAAGTTACCCTGACTGTGTTGGTGGAAGTTCTAATACAACTTTTACTTCTGAAGCATCTATGGAGTGTGGTAATTCTGAAAATAGACCTGCGTCCTGGTTTAAGGCTGATCTTAAAAAGAAGAAGCTTGAGAGTGGTCAGCTAGGAGTTAAAAAATCTAAACTTAATATATATTTAGCTGAGTCCATAATTGAGGAAGCTGAGTCCATAACATACAAGTTAGTATCAAATAACTAAAAGGTTCATTTGTGTGTGCTCATTCTTTTTGGGCGTTATACTCATTTGAGTTTAACATAAAACTCATTTCATTTAAAATGAGTATTAAGCAAATATCAAATGAGTATACATAAATTACAAAATGAGCAATCATAAAACTCATTCGAAATCTCTACCATGCTCATAATTTCATTTTGTATAAAAAACTGTGGCAGCCCATGTAACAGACCAGTAATTAGCAGAGACGGAAAAATAGAGTGTGAAGAATAGGAATAGCTCGCAGGGGTAGAGCTGTCTCTGCATCGGCTAAGAATCTCAGTCGTGACTCGTGAGTTGCACTTGGAAGCTTGGCTATCGGCGATCTGCGTTCGTGAGTTGCACCAGACTTTCGATCTGCCGTCCTTCGCCGTCTTCATTGGTGAGTTGCAGAGCTAAATCGCGAGTTGCAGAGCTGAATCGCGGAGGTTTAATTACAAAAAAACCCAGTTGTACGGTGAGCACCGTACAGCCGGCCGTACGGTGTATTTTACCGGACCATAGCCATATGGAGCATCTTTTAGGAGTGCAGGTGAATCCACCCGCTCGACAACCCGAGACTAGAAACGGCGCGCTGTCCGCTTGCTGACCGCTCACGGAGCGATAGTCAGAGAGGCTGCCGCTGTGCAAGGCTGGCGATGGCGACCGGCCTTTGGTGAGAGTCCGGCGGAGCTTCAAGATGTACCTTCACAGAGCTCCATGCCGCCATTAATGGCGGAAATCAAAAGACTCCCAGCCGGCAGACCCCTCATGTCGCGTCGGCAGATCAGTATAGCCAGTGGATGCTTAAGCCGCGACTGACCAGGTGGGGGAGTGGCCAGTGGTTGGCCGCTGATGACGAACGGAGGTGTGGCGACTCAGGCGGTAGCCGGTGGAACTAGATGCTAGTCACGAGCGACTCCGTTGCAGGCGGTGCCTTACCAGAACTTGGGATGACATGACCTAGAGTACTGCAGCGAGCTTCGTCTGGTGCAGGTAAGCCCACCGGAGTTTCCATAGCGGCGGGGACAGTGACGGCGGCTCCGACGACCCAAACAAGTTCTGGAAAAAATCCAGATTTGGACATTCACACTTCGTAGCTTCCTTGCTTTCCTCTTTCCTGGGTGCCGCAGCAAGCTTCATCCGGTGCGCGTAATTAAACTCACCAAGGCTCCATGGCGACGGGGACAGTGTCGGCTGCTCCGGCGGCTCCGGCAACTTCCACACAGATCTGGAAAAAAATCCCAACTCCCCGATTCCATAACTTCTCCTCTTCACAGAATCATTTTTTTTGTTGTTGTTGAAAATCAGTTCTTCGTCCCAAATTTTTTGCATAAACTATAGAACACACATAGTCTTTTTGAATTGATTCCCACAGACGGCGCCAGTGTTGAGTTTAATTCGCCGCAGCCCGGAAGTTCAACACCTCTTCCGGGAGGGTTTCATGGCTATTGGGTGATATAAAATATAAACAATGATTTTTACGTGAAAACCCGAAAAGGGAGAAAACCACGGGACTGTTTAGGCTAATGTTCAAGCCCGCTCCTTTTATTATTGCTCTCCTCACCAATATATTATACAAGCTCCATTAATGGAGGATTCAAGCTAACTATATAGAAAGGGGAAGAAAGAGGGATCAAAAGAGGGATCAAAAGAGGGATCCCTTATTAGGAGGGAGGTCCTCCTATTTATAGAGGAAAGGGGGAGGGGTGCTCCACCCTAACGGACCGAGTGGGCCGAAATGGGCCTCTTGGGCCTAGGTGGGCCGAATGGGCAGAAATGGGCCCAAAGGCCGAAACAGACCTGATATGCTAAAATGGGCCTCACTGATTGGGTTTCGTACTACGTAAAGTCTTGGGCTCCAGAACATTAATAGGCCGGGATGATATATCCCAACATATAGTATACAAGTTCAAATAAAAATATATTTAACTAACATTCTATATTATATATAGGAGCCGTTAATTTATAAAAAGATAATTACTATTTGAAGTGTACTTATTAGTTTGAGAAAAATTAATTATTGGGTGACATTAATTTATTATAATAATGCAAATAAAGATGTTTTTAATTGAATAAAGATTTATTGATCTAGTCTAATCTGGTATAATGTTATCTTATTTATTTTATTTAAGTTTGATCTGATCTAATCTAAACTGGTCTGCACTATTAGATGTATGTTTATGTGCATGTGTTTTTTTTAACTGTGTTAAACAACTATCGAAAATTGATATGGTTTAAATTGAGATAAAAAACATCTCAATTAAAAACATCCTAGATACTGTCATATATCGTAGTTATATGATTATAAAGATGAATAACACAGTATATATATGGCCATCAAAATATTAACGAATATTGTATACGGCAAACTTAATGAATCACATCACAAAGAAGAAGTGAGATATAGATAGTGAAGATTATGAATACCTCATAAGTGTGAAAATCAAGAGTACTATTTTTTATATATTTTCAGATTCATCCTCCATTGTATAAGAAGATTGTAAAAAAATTATAGAAGCATTAATAATGGGTTCCAAATATTTATATAGTAGTTGTTTGATAGTAGTTAGAAAGTGTAATCTTGATTGTATTAGGAATTTAAGTGTATGTTGAGAACTATTTGAAAACATTTAAGTGTATTTGGAAACATGTTACACAAAATTTTGGAAACATTGGGCCAGCGCATTGGGCCAACATAAGATTATGAACAATGTTTAATTTGGTCTATTTTTTGTAAACATTGGAACAAAAATGAATAACTTATAATATTTTGTAAAAGCAATAAGTGTTTGCTACAAAAATATTGCATAGAGATTTGATAATGTGTATTTGTTTAACTAATGTTGCCACCGAACAACTAAATTGATACCGAGTACTAGTAATAATAATTAACTAATTATTTGTAATTAATGCTCCATATGATTATATAACAAACGTAAGAGGATAAATTTGTCCAATTTTGAAAGAAATGGGGTGCTTCCAGCATTTGTTGGGGTGCGCGAAGCACGAGCATTAATTAATCTTAGGTAATGGTTGGTATAAATATAAACAGTTTTGTTATAATTAAATATAATAAAGTTGGTTTTGTTATAAATATAAACAGTTTATTAATTTCTTATTCAATCCTTAATTATTTACGCCCATGTTTGGCAATCGGCTACTGGTTGTTAGTTGTTAGCTGCTTACGACATCTGATTGACAATAGCTGGTTGTGTTAGCTGTTTTGGTTGACTGGTTATGTTAGCTTATTGTCAGCAATTGTTTGGTAAATTAGCCGTTTAAAATTAGCTGTTAGAGTGTAAAAAGACATAAAAGGACATTATTATTTTTTGAATTATTCTTATAAAAAACACCTTAAGCAATTTCACGGCATTTTTAGTGCACAACCTAATAAAAATGTAATTGCATCCCGACACATGATCATCACACCATAAGCAATCTCCGGTTCAATTGTAAAACTAATTATTTAGAGCATCTTCAATGCTAAAACGTTAACAGTGCATATGTAGCATGAGAAATAACCAATTAAAAAACAACAAATAGAATATCTCTC